GCAGAAGCTGTTCCGTGTGAGGATGTGGTTATGAATATCTTCATATCTCATGGCAGTTTTGTATAGGCTTAGTAGGGTAGATTGTGGAAAGGTTTTTGCTAAGGAGTACATGGTTAATTTGTGGCTAGAAATGTGGAAAAGATACTCTTGCAAACTGGGAGACTCGAGAGCGGGTTTTTTTCCTGCCTGCACGATCAATCCCAAACAAGACTTTGAAAACTTGACCCTTTCTAGGAAGAAAACTTCTTTTTTTGTAGAAACTGGAAAGCTGTAAGGCAGTGTCACACTTGTCTGCAGTCACAGCCCCGGCTGACGCACGAGTGGGAAAGGCAGAAAGCGGGAGGAGCGCCCGCGCAGCCTGCGCTTGCAGCAGGAGGAATTGCTCGCTCGAGCGACTGAGCTGGCATTCTCACGCCTGCATCCCAGAGCACCAGCCCTTACCCAGGGCCGGCGATGCGCTGGATATGGGAGTCTTCAGCACTGCATTTGGGATGTGCTGCAGAGTGAGAAGCCACCCTGTAATTCATGAACCGTTGAAAGAAAGGCAGAGATGCCAGCCAGAACAAGGTCATATTAAACCTGTTCATAAAATAATGGCTCTGACCCAGCGAGTTGGAAACTGATGAAAGAAGAGGATGAAATTGCACACATTTTCTTATGTGTTTGTATGATTTGGGGATTGTATGTACACAGCAGGTGCCTGTTAATTATTAACACTACTGTTTATCTCTCTCTCTCTTGGCCTTTTTGCCAAGAGTAAGTGCTGGTGGATGCGTGTCCTTTCTCAGAGGCGGTCCTCTGTCCTGATCAGAGGTAGCTCTGAAGTAATTGTTTGCCACTTGTTACTCTCTTTCTCACTGATGCCAAAAAGATAAAACTTTGCGAGTGTTAAAAGTCAGCCTTCCAGGAGGCTGACCCGCTCCTTCCCACCAGGAGCAGCATCCATCATCCCAGCTGGGGGAGTCGAGGGTGCCCTGCCCCAGGGCAGGGCTGAGGGTCGTACGGGGCCCCCCGGCAGATTCCTCCCAGCCCAAATTCCTCCCTGGCACAACACGTCCGACGGGCTGGGCCATCCCTCGCCCAGCCTAGGACGGTGCAAGCTCAGGGGCGAGTTGAGGGATTTCTCCTACGCTCCACGTTACAGTACCCGAGCCATGCGTGTCCTTTCTCAGAGGCGGTCCTCTGTCCTGATCAGAGGTAGCTCTGAAGTAATTGTTTGCCACTTGTTACTCTCTTTCTCACTGATGCCAAAAAGATAAAACTTTGCGAGTGTTAAAAGTCAGCCTTCCAGGAGGCTGACCCGCTCCTTCCCACCAGGAGCAGCATCCATCATCCCAGCTGGGGGAGTCGAGGGTGCCCTGCCCCAGGGCAGGGCTGAGGGTCGTACGGGGCCCCCCGGCAGATTCCTCCCAGCCCAAATTCCTCCCTGGCACAACACATCCGACGGGCTGGGCCATCCCTCGCCCAGCCTAGGACGGTGCAAGCTCAGGGGCGAGTTGAGGGATTTCTCCTACGCTCCACGTTACAGTACCCGAGCCGTGCATTTCAGCTGACCTTGAGCCACTGCAGAGTCACCACCGGGCTTGAAAGTTTTTTTCTGTTTTCTGAGGTTTTTGGTTTTGTGGTTTTTTTAATTTTCTGTGCCAAAAGTGAGCAGAAAAACATGATGAGAGCAGCTTTATAGCTGAGAGATACATTTGATTTCCCTTTGGTGTTGGACTAATCAGTTGGCAGCTTTCATTTGCCTGAAGATAGCAGACCTTTCTAGGAGCTTGTTAGCTTTCTTTTTGAATGCCAAGTCTTAGAAAAGACCAAAGGAAATAGCTCTAGCTTTCCAGTTATATGACCAGGATTTGTTTAGAAAAATGCTGAAGGTGCAACTCTTACCAGTGCTTTCTCCTGAAGCCTGGCTCTGTCTCTTCCAGGCTGGTCTCAGGAGGTGGTGGAGCTCTGCAAGAAGTATCAAAACAACTCTGTGGTGGCCATCGACCTGGCTGGGGATGAGTCCCTGAAGGTGGAGGATTCCTCTGAGCATAAGAAGGCTTATGAGGTTTGTTTAATAAGAAATGATGAGAAAAACATATATTGAGGGGATGCATGCAAGGGGACATGTAGTATGTTATTCAGACTGCAAACAGCTGGGACAGCTTAAAAATTTGTTTCAGCTATTAAAACCATTCTGTTAAATAGCAAAAGTTTGTTTATGTTTCCTAAATGATTAATGGGAGGCATCATTGCTTAAACACGGCCTTAGAGCTGGAGCTCAGCACGCTACCCCCTAGCACTGAGTGCAACACAAGTGGAGCCCACTTCCCCCCCTGCAGCACCCCGCTGCCTTGGCTGGGGTCTGCTCCTGGGGCTCAGCCAAACCATGGCCAAGGGTGGAAGAGTGTGGCCTTTCCAGTCTGGCAGAAATCACCCGAGCAGCAGCTGCCTGTTTGAAAGGCTTTTATCTGATCATAGAATCATAGAATGTTTTGGGTTGGAAGGGATAAGAAGGCTTATGAGGTTTGTTTAATAAGAAATGATGAGAAAAACATATATTGAGGGGATGCATGCAAGGGGACATGTAGTATGTTATTCAGACTGCAAACAGCTGGGACAGCTTAAAAATTTGTTTCAGCTATTAAAACCATTCTGTTAAATAGCAAAAGTTTGTTTATGTTTCCTAAATGATTAATGGGAGGCATCATTGCTTAAACACGGCCTTAGAGCTGGAGCTCAGCACGCTACCCCCTAGCACTGAGTGCAACACAAGTGGAGCCCACTTCCCCCCCTGCAGCACCCCGCTGCCTTGGCTGGGGTCTGCTCCTGGGGCTCAGCCAAACCATGGCCAAGGGTGGAAGAGTGTGGCCTTTCCAGTCTGGCAGAAATCACCCGAGCAGCAGCTGCCTATTTGAAAGGCTTTTATCTGATCATAGAATCATAGAATGTTTTGGGTTGGAAGGGACCCCTAGAGGTCATCTAGTCCAACCCCCATCTTGAATGCTAAGCTGGAATGGCTTCAGGAGCTGGATCGGAGACTCCCAGTAGACCTCAGCTCTTTGCAGCAGCTCATGGGGGAAGCTTTGTGCCTCGCTGCTCTTTGCTGGTGGGAGTTTGGGGTTGTGGGTCCCTTGCATCAGTGGCAGAGGAGGTTGTGCACCATCACTGCCAAAACGGATGGTGCTTTGCAAGCAGCGCTCAGGGTTGAGACATCACAGGGCTTTCTCAGGGTCTTTGCTCCCATCAGCAGAAGCCGATACAAGGTCCTGCCTCTGCTGTGCCACGCTGGCTGAACTGAGTGGTTATAAACTGAGATGTGGGGACAGTTTTATTAACCATCAGGCGGGCATGTCTCATCCTGCCCTGGTGTGCCAGCAGTACCCAGGTCCAGACTCTCCTGTTTGAAGGATCCGTCTTCTTGCTGCGCCAGGCGCTTGCTCAGGCTCTGAGATGCTGAAGCAAACCCCACTCCTGTCTGTTGGCCCCTCTTGGCCTGCATGGCAGGGAAGTACGTCCCCATAGAAACTGCTGCTACGCTCTGTGGGGTGTGTAATGCATCCAGGGAAATTGGAGAGACTCGTGATGTCCCTTGGGCAGGCCTGGGAGCTCTTGGAGCTGCTGGAGGGGGGAGAGCAGATAACAGTAAAAACTCAACTGTGGCTGCTGGCTGCAGAGGAGCACCAGGAAGTGTAGACCCAAGGATCCTGGGACTGCCATGTCCAAGGAAGCAGAGATCCTTGGAGGAGAAGCCAAGGGAAGCACTGCACGTCATTGGACAAATGGGTTGAAAAAAGGTTTAACACACTCCAGGGAAGAAACACACATGGATGGACGTGAGACACGAGCTCCCTCCTGGGTGGAGAGGCTCAGGCTTTGGCAGCTGGGAGAGTCAGTGGGGAAGGGTCCCGGTGTATGTACTCTTCCTGACCCCTCGGCCTGTATCCCTGGCTCCTATTGGGATAGTTAGGGATGCCTGTCTTGGGGGGTGGGGGGGAGAGTTTTTGGTGTCTCTTCATCCTATGTAGAAGGAAGTGGAAAATCTCTGTGCTAGTGTGAGTCTGTCTCTCTTCTTGGTCTGGTACTTCAGCCAGACGGATTTTGTTATTTTAAAAAGTGTCAAAACTATTTGGGAAAAGTCAACACTCACTTAAATGTAAGGAGCACAGGTCGATGCACACACGGCTCTTCTGTAGAAGTCCCAGGCAGAGCCTGGCCTGACATGCGCTGGGCCTGGGTGTTCAGCATGAGGAGCTGAAAATTAAGTAACTGAAAAAAAATCATGAATAGAAAGCCCTGAAGGAGTATCCAGGAAGAACATCTGCTGCGAGATGGGGCTTGCAGCCTGCCAGCCACTGCCAGCTGGGTGGCCCTTCTCCAGCAAGGCAGGAGCCAGGCTTCCCTCCAGGCTGCAGGGCTTCCCATGGCCCAGGCGGTCTGTAGCTGCCCTGGCAAGGGATTTTTCAGGATGGCCGTGGAGAGCATCTCGAAATGCCCCCAGAGCTGCACCCACAGTGTCCTCTCAGTTGGGCTGCCTCTGTCCCCAGGTCCCCAGCCCCTCACAGGTGCTCGGTGTCTGAGCATTGCTTCATCTCTGCCCCGGGGGCTTTTAAATACTCCCACTTGCCTGCAGCTGGCCAAAAATGTAGAAGTTTTGGAGACAGGAATTGCTGCGAGGTTCGTGCAGAAGGGCAAGTGGGTGGAGGAGAGAGAGCTTCTAGCTTGCTGCTGCCTGAAGAGGAGACACTGGTGGGCTCACCTGGTGTTAAAAAGACCCCGGAGGAGTCTGGCTGGGTGCCAGGGGAAGGTCACCAGGCTTTCCAAGTTTCTCAGCTTCTGGCATTACCAAGCTCTTCTCTCGCAGCCTGCGCTACAGCAGAGAGCATGCAACTCTTGGGGTGCAGGGCTTGTGGTTTGGGGGCTCTTCACACAGAGCCATGCTGTTTGCTGTGCCCCCAAGAGCGGAGCCACTGCAGGGGGCTTGCTGACCTCGCTGCGGGCGATGGGACAGGAGCGTGTCCTCCCTTGCTTTGCAGGAAGCTGAAAGATGTGGGATTCATCGTACTGTCCATGCTGGGGAGGCCGGCCCGCCTGCCATTATCAAGGAGGTACGAGTTGCTCCGGGCTTGGGGCAGGGGTGGGAAGTGCCCCTGCACCAGGGAGAGAGGAGCCCAAGTCCTCCCCATATTCATAGCAGAGCAAACATTGGGGACCCAGGCAGAGATCTGGCCCCGATGGCTCAGGGAAGGATCTCCCTGGAGCTGGCTCAGTAGCACGGGCTGTGCCCATGGTGGGGCGGGGGTCTCTGGGCAGGTGGGGGCCGAGCTGGTGCTTGGAGGCTGTATGTGCTTTTCCTGTGGTCCCTAGGCAGTTTATCTCCTGAAGGCCGAGCGCATTGGCCATGGCTACCATGTCCTGGAGGACCCCGAGCTCTACAAGGAGCTGTTGAGAGCAAAGATGCATTTTGAGGTACGGATGTGTGGTGGGAAGATGACAGCAGGACAGACATACAGGACTGCTGTCTGAGTGGAAAATCAGCCCTCACTTGGGCTGTGCTACAGCCAGGGACACGACCTGACACTGAGTGCTCACCGTGTGTATGGTGGCATTGCCCTTGAACCTGGGTGACTAAAGCTCCTCAGCAAAAACGGTGGTGACACCTGGCTGTTTGCTGGGATCTTTGCTGTGAGCACAGCAGCTTGCAGGAGGTGTATAGCAGAGAGAAATGGATCCTGCTTTGGCTGAGGATAAACTTGGGCAGCTTCTTCACTAATTCAGCTCAAGCCTGCAGGCTTCTTCTCCTGCAAAATGGGCTGCTGTGCTGGAGCCTGTCTGGGTGGAGGGTGGGGGTGCCTGGGAGTCACTGTGCCTAGGCAGATTTCCTTGGCTTTTCCCCAGAATGGGCATATCCAACTTCTACATGGAATATATAATGCCAGTGGTTTCGTAGCTGTGGTTGACACACAACTGGTGTCTGACCAGTCCTGGGAACGATCCCACCGGCTCCTGCCACTGTCACATGGGCTGTGGGCTCTTCGCATCCATGTCCTAGGACGTGCACTGGTCCATCGCAGCTGTGAACGAAGCTCTCAGCCTGTATCTGGCTTTACCAGTATGCTCAGCTATCTATGCGCACAGCTGAGGTTCAGGTCTGTGTGGCTGATTCTGGCTTTCGTGTTTAACTCCCCCAAACAGGTCTGCCCTTTGTCCAGTTATCTCACTGGAGCATGTCTTCCGGACTTTGGGAAACACCCAGTAACGCAGTAAGACTTCTCAATTATGTACAGTCTTAAATAACCAGGATTGGGGTTGATTACAGCTGCTTTATTGCTTTACAAAGATAATGCACATCTAACTGCTTGCAAAGAAAACGTGGTTCATCCTCACCCTTTGGAGGCGCCCAGTGCAGCTGGAGGGGATGCAGGGGTCCCTCGGGGAGGCTGTCCTGTCCCTCCCACCCCTGCTCTGAGCCATGGGGCGTGAGATGCTGCACACCGGCTGTTACCCCTGGTTTGTGGGTGAGAGCTGAGGTTGCCGAACCTCCAAGCAGGAGACGCCCCGCTGCTCTGCTCCTCCCTCCCCTGGAGAAGCAGATCGGTGCAGCGCGGTGGGGAGCCGAGCTGAGCCCTGTGTTTGTGTCCAGCAATGCAAGCCGCAGGGGCAGCTGCAAGGTCTTTGCTTTTACTGCGTTTTACCCTGAGAACTGCATGACCAGTGCCATATCCAGTGTTTTACCCACCGGTTCAACCTGATTTCCTTACAGATTTAGGAAGGATCGTGCTAACTATTCTATAAACACGGATGACCCCCTCATCTTTAACTCCAATATCGACAAGGATTACAGCATAGTGAAGGACTACATGGGCTTCACAGAAGAGGAGTTCAAACGAGTGGTAAGTCAGCCTCGGCCGGATGCTCTGCTGGTGTCCCAGTGCAGCCTGGAACAACCTGCTGCTTTTCTTTATAAGCTAAAGAGTTTTCAATGGAAATCAGAAAATCCTGCAATGGCCTTCTAAGGCTGAGGAGGGCTGCTGAGCCGGCTGGAGGGGATCCAAGTGCAGGGGGACTCTGCAGGGGCTGTATCACTTGGGCTGGCTGCTTTGGGCTTTATGGGGGACAGGTTAGAGTGGAAATTGCCCACTGAAGATCTGAGCGGGAAGAAAGGTGCCTGTTGCTTTTTTTTTTTTTCCCTGGATTTAGAATTATGTGGAGGTTATTTCAAGGCCTGGCCAAAAAGTTAGCAAGATTCAGCAGCTACAAAAGTGCTTGCAGGTTCTGCTCATGTAACATGAGTATGCAACAACTGAGCTGACTGCTGGCTTCAGTTTTGGCACACAGTCATTTATGTGTCTTGATTACATCCTGAAAAACAGTCTTTAATCATCGACTTTTCTAATTACTTACTCAAGACAGAAAGACAAGGTAACTGTTGGGAGTTTGACTTACCTGGTTACCAAGCGAAGCTTTCCTGGTTTGCATTGCTCAGCGCTTTCACCCCTGTCTCCAGAGATACTTGCTTGGATTGGGAGGTGCACGACGCCCTTCACAAGGGAGCATCAGTCCTGCTCTCAGCACTGGCTGCAGGAACAAGTCCCTTTCTCCTGCAGACATCACTCCCCGGGTCTGGAAGGGGGAACAAGGACAGCTCTGAGCTCTGGGATCCTGGATCTTTCTGCCACCAACTGTCCTCTCACGCTCTTGCAAAAGCCAGGTTGTTCTGTGTAATAAAAGTCCTGGCACAACAGGGACGAGCAGAAGTTGCACAGCCAGGCTGTGTCCCAGCAGCGGCACATCAGGCTGCCACCACTGCGCCGGGAGAGGCCCTTGTCCAAAGGGGAGCTGGGAGTGGAGGAGCGGGTCTAAAGTGCATATTCCAAAAACTCCACAGTATTTAAAGACTTTACGTGTGCCTGCCTTGTTCCTCTTGGGGCTGTGGCTAGTGAAGGGCAGAGCAGTCGCCCTGTAAAATGAGGGCATGGAAATGAATCTTGGAGTGGAAACTTTGCACTCTCCCTCAGCTCAGAGCCAGATGTCGGGATGTGCACAACCACGTGTTCATGCCTGATGTGTCTTACTGTCTCCCTTGTGTTCCCCCTCTGCCTCCCCAGAACATCAACGCAGCTCAGTCCAGCTTCTTACCCGAGAAGGAAAAGCAGGAACTGCTGGACACGCTGTACCAAGCCTACGGGATGGTCCCCAACGCATCGTGACCCATCCCTGCGAGCCAGCGTGGAGCAGCGGCCCTTCTTCATGCGTGCATGACCCTCCTCTGCGCTAGTGGGAGCACCGGGACAAGGTGCCCTGAGTCAGTCTCTATTACTGGCACCCCCGTGTTAACCCTTACCGTGCTAAGCAGAATCAGGCTATCACATACACCTACCTATACCCCCCCAAACTCTCTTCCAAATGGATATCCAGCTTCCTATCTCGCTGTTGTGCAAGCAGACTGAAACTGCTTCCTGGCCTGACTCCCTTCTCCATCTGCCAGAACCTCCCCTGCTTTACCTGTCCTGCCCCACCAACCTGCCTAGCCCTTGTCTGCAGTGCAGAAATAACCACCTTTAACTGCGCCTGTGGCCTGGGTTAATATTCTTCTTTTTAGGGAAAAGGTGTGTTAGTGCTGACGGAGTGAGCAGGCACTTCAGCAACAGAGGCTTTATTCCCATCCGTGTGGGTAGGAGGGTTTGGCCACAGCTATATTTACCCAGGGTTAGTCTTGGACTAGCAAGACTGGAACAAGAACAGGCTGGAAGCTGGCGCTCTTGCCCGTGCGCAGGTCTGAAGGGCATTTAAAAAAAAAATACAATTTTTTTTGGCATCCTTTCTTGGGTAAGGCCTCCTGTGTATCAGGCCTCCCAGTGTCACTGCTGCAGAAGCGCACACCTTGGGCTCAGGTTCCAGCTGTGCTCACAGCTGGCCATGACCATGCTCACACATGCATAGGAAGTTGGAACATATTTTTACCGTTTTGGGCCAAAATCTGCCTTCTGGGACTTTTCCCAGTGTTGTGCTCATCCTGGAGAATTCCTGTGAACTGCAGTTTGCTCTTCCTCTATCTTTGTTTAGGACTTGGGAAAACCATGATCGATTGCCTGTTTTAACCATTCTGCCCTCTTCCTGACATAATCTTTAGGCACTATTAAAACGGAGTAAGTAAATGTTGACTCAGGTCCCATTTCAATTGCTTCTCTCACTCAACCACAATGCTGGCTCCAAGTCAGATCTTCGGTTTGGTGGAGAATTTCTACAGAAATACTCACCAAAAGTGATTTTGGTGCGTTACGGTATTTTTACTTAATATGCAATAGAACTGTGCATCCAGAGAGGAGACCATCATTTTCTTAGGTGAGTGTGTGGTGTGCTTGAGCATCCCAGGTGTCTGCCAAGATGCTTACTCCAAAGATACTGTACCAAAAAGTTGCCTTTGACAAGGGGCTGTGGTTGCCATTACCGTGGACAGTGTGTGAGACTGGTCCGGTCTCAGCCAGCAGCCACTGTGTGCTGGGAGCATTTCCATTCTTTCTGGACTTACATAGTTGTCCTCTGAGTAAAAAACTCATCTCTGAAGTACATGGTGCATATATACACCTCTATATATAGCTAGATAGATGGATATGAGAGTGAATTTCTTACTTTTATAAAGCAAATGATAAAGCATCACTTTTAAGAACATGATTGCAGTAAGAACTGGGCTTTTTGGGGTAACTTTTCTGCAAAAAATTGTTTCTGAAGAAGAGTTGCTTGTTTGGATTCTGGACAGTTGATTGTTAATCCTGTTTAATAAAATAACAAATTTATATTTAAAGATAACTCCTCTTGCCTTTCTGTTCAAGGCTGTTAGGAACCGCGGTCTGTGGTCCACAACGTGAGCCATCGTAGCCCTGCTAGAGATGAGGGTTAAGCAGTAGGTGTGATGGGGGCTTTGGCACCCCAGTTCCTGCCATCTCCTGTTGCCAGGTTGAAAGCTAATGCAGGGCAAGCCAGAGGGCAGGAACCCCTGCTCCTTTGCTACAAAGGCAAGTTGGGTTTATGGATGCAGGGTGTTCCAACCTCACACGTCCTTTTCCCTTCGGTAATCAAAGGGACATGTATTTCACTGCTAGTAGTGGCAGCACCGTCACTGTGTACACTCACTTTTTCAAGCACATATCAAAAATGGTTTACAATACTTTTTTTCCCTGTCCCCTGAGTTTTGCACAGTCGGTTGATGCTAACAGCCCAAAATGGTGCAGCCTGGGCTGCCTGGCTGTTGGACTGCAGTCAGCTCAGGCAGGGGGATGTTTGCTGGAAGGCTTTCTGATCGTTTAGTGCCTGGTTAGAGTTTCGGGAGGTTCAGCATGCCCTTATGTTCAACTGAAATGAAGGGCTCGGAGCATCCATGCGATCAGCAGCTTTGCCAGTCAGGATGTGGCTGGATTAAGCCAGTGCCCTTGGTCTTTCAGCACAGTCAGCGACAGCACCTGACCGGGCTCTTTCACTTGCAGGGGAACCTGATGCCTCTCGCCTGTCCTCTGAGGGTGGCTGGCCAAAGGGTCCCTAGTCATCTGCCTAAATATAGTTCTGGAACAGATATTTTCTGACCAGGGAGACCTAAGATTAGCCTATGTTTGACTGCTGGAGGTCTTGCGTGGTGCACAGTCCCTCTGCGTTGCCTTTCGGCTTGCTTCATGTGTGTCAGCATGAGCCAAAAATACCGTTCAGTGGCAGCGAGGAGAGCTGGAAGTGGGGCTTAAAGACCCAACTGTGTGGTCACCCCCCGCCGGTCCCGGCCGCTACCTGGCTGCCAAACCCTCGTTTCCTGTGGGGGCTGGAGCCACGGACATCTCTGTCCCAGCCCTGTAGCCACCCCTGCCCAGAGGCCCACAGACAATTGTCCCCATGTCTGGCAGCCGCTTCCCTGCTTATTTATGGTCTTGTTTTCTCTGATAAATCTCGAACTTTTAACATACAGTTCTTCCCTAGGCTGTCAGGGTAATGCTTGTCCTTGTGTCCCCAGTGGAGAGTATTTCTCAGGCCAGCTCTGCCTTGTCCCTGCCCCGGCCATCAGGCCCAGCCGGGCTGTAGCTGCCTCCCACAGCTCCAGCTGGATCGGCTCTGCCTGGGCTGGGTGAAATGCCAGCGATGTCTTCGTAGCTCTCTGCTGCAGGGGGAAGATGCCTCTTCTCACCGGCGCCTCTTCTGCTGGTGTCTGGTCCACTCTGCAAGTCCCAAGCCAGCCTCATGGGGTAGGACTGTGGAGGGGAGCAGTGTTCCCATCACAGAATCGTTTAGGTTGGAAAAGACCTTTAAGATCATCAAGTCCAACCATTAACCCAGCACTGCCAAGTCCATCACTAAACTGTGTCCCTAAGCACTACATCTGCAGCAAACCTGGGAAAGTGGGGGCAGACATTTAACATTTTCTGTGCCTGACTACATCCTCATCCACCTTTGTGCTGCAAACCCATGGTATTTCACAGACCCAGGCGAGACCTCTGTAACACAGCCCCGTATCTCCCTGAGGGGAAGCCAGTGTAACCCTGCAGCTCAGCCAGCTGCGAAGCAAGGCAGAGGAAGAAGAAATATCCAGGCAGAAAAAAACACCTTCAGTACTTGAAGGCTGTGTTATTTATTCAACAGCTTATATAGTTTTATCAAACCATCGTTAACACAAAACATGTCTCCTAAAAGAGAGAATGGTGTGAGATCCTACCAGAGATCATCTCAACTAACAGCTTGCAAAGTTAAGCCTGAATTTCAACAGTCAAACCAGCAAAGTGTTTCTCCCCTCCCCTTAACAATATCTTAAAATGCTAAAACCCGAAGAAAAATATGCCTGTGGCTGGTGCTGCTGGGTCTGTAGGTGGAGCTCGTCCATACAGAGCTGTGCTTTGGTCCTTTCCTGATGCTAAGGGGCAGCAGCACGGGTGAGCGGTGCCTGACAGGAAGGCAGCGGGACTGGCCGGTCCCTTCCCCGCTGCCCACCCTGACGAGGGGCCACAGGGACAGCCCAGGGGCCAGGTCAGGTCTAAGATGCAGATGAGGGTGACGCTTAGAAAAACCAATAATCTAAATTTCTAATCTATGGAAACAGAATAAATAATAGTCTAAATTTGCAAAGGAGGAAGGTACCTTGGACAGGAAAGTCTGGTGCGTCTATTATTACTGAAATTGGGTTTTTTCCCCTAGGGGAAAATTGCAGCTAAGGCATCTTGAGAATGGCTCATATCACTACAACCACGGCAGTGTTGCTCTAAATTGGTAGGGATGGGAGCACAAGTCTTTTGGAGGTGCCAGTCCTTGCAGAGCATCTTCTGGTTCTCTAAACAAAAGCGGTTGCAGCAGAGGCATTTGACAGACACCTTGCTGTTCCAGGCTGGCTTTTGTCCGCAGATTCGATAGCAATTTCTTGTTTAATGTTGACAGCGAGGCCCTCCTCCTGCCCATCCCACCCCCCGTACACCGTCATGGGGAGGGGCTGTTTTCTTGCCCCTTTGGTCTTGCTCCAGGGTCGTTCTCAGAAGAAGTGGCATCTCTTTGGCTTTCTGCAGAAGGGAGGATTGGGAAGAAAGCACGGTTACATTCTGCTGAGGATAGAAGCGGTCAGCAATTGCTATAGCTGATTTTATTCACATTGCCACCTATCGCTACCCTCCTGTGGCCAGGTATTTGGCTTAAGAGCACTGGGTTCTCCCTTCACGTTCCTGGAGTGCAAACGCTTCTGAACGCATCTGGTGGTGCTGGAGGGAGCCTCGGGGCAGGGATGTGCTCTCGTAACCACAACTTGCAAGCGCTCCTGGAACGTCTGCCCCACAGCCCGGCAGCTACCTGTGCTGCTCCCTGTTAGAAAAGCTCTAATTTGTGCTAATTATGGATGGGTGGATGGACACGGACACGCTTGGGGTAATGTGTTTTAAAGTATTTTTATAGTTACAGATTGTAGGTTGGAGGAGTAAAAGAGAAAGGGCAAAAAAAAATGAGTTTATCCCTTGTAGCGGTGCTGAATGTTTTGCGGCTTATTAGTGAAATCAGACTGGCTGGTTTGCTTGGGCTCTGACGGAGGATTTATGCTGGCTGGTTGTAGTCAGCTGGTCAGCAGGTATTGAGCAGGGTGATACTCCTGCCGTGTTTGGGCTACAGGGGGAAGATTTGGAGATAGCTGGTGGTGTTTAAAATTATTTCTGTTGTTATTTAAAACACTGTAGAACTATCTGGAATTAAAAAAAACCCATAAAGCCAACCAGCAAAGAAAAAGCAAGCCACAACCCATCTCACACTTGATTTTTATAAAGCCTAAAATCTAGCTGATGTGTAGCTTGCCCTGGGAAGGCTGTCGGTCTGCCTGTGTCCTGTTTGAGCACCAGTGCCTCTACAAACTCACCGAGCAAAGGGCCGTGGCTGGAGCATGCAGGGCTCATGTGCCGGGAACCCCAGGACCACCCCATTGCTTGCAACAGCCGCTCGGCCTGGGGAGTCTCCCACGAAGCTGAGTACCCACCGAGCATGAAGTCACCGACTGCAGTGAGGAATGGGATGTTCCTCCCGAGCATCTGTGTGATGCTCCCAGACACATCACTGGTTGGCTGCACTGCTGTTTTGTGCCTTGCCTTTCCAGCCTGGGTGCCAGGAGCTGGGTTTACTGGTGTCCGCGGCAGCTCACCTGCTCCTTCAACGGCCAGGTCACCTAGGTCCTCGGTCAGCTTGCGCATGCTGATGGTGGTTGCATCTCGCTGGATGTCATGGACAGCATTCCTCCGACCAGCTCGATCGCAGGAAATAAAGTCAGTGTACGTGCTGGACTCTACCTCCATTGCATCTCTATATGCCTGCAAAGCGCTGCAGAGAAAACACAGCTGTGAGGTCAAGGATGCTCGGCAAGCCTCAAGCCATGGCTACCTCCAGGTTAGGTTACTCCGTGGAGTTAAATTACAGCATGAAAAAATAGTCCCTGTAACTCTGCTCCGGTTCCTCTAACAGGAGCTACTGCAATCTCAGATATCAACCCCGTCACGTGGGGTGGCATGCCGAGTGACCCACCGTGCCGGGTGACCTACCATGCCAGGTGACCCACCGTGCCGTGTCACCCACTGTGCCGGGTGACCCACCATGCCGGGTCACCCACCATGTTGGGTCACCCACGGTGCACACTGAGGGCAGGTAGGCAGGAAGGATCCTTCCCAGCTGCCTTACCAGCCTTTGTTCTGTCTTCCCATTGCACAGAAAGGCAGAGAAGACGTTTGCTTCTCCTTTTGAGTTTCTGGCCTTCTTTAGGAGCTGCAACGTCGCTTGCAGCAGTCTTTTCCTACAGAAAAAGCATTACAGAAAAAACCTTCCTTCCTCCTCAAAATGCCATGGGAGCTTTGAACAGAGGCCAATTTTTGGCTTGCTGCCTGGGGAATGGGGTGCTGGTCCAACCTGAATTTGTAATGGGAAAGGATCAGGGCCCCAGTGGATACCGGCTTGAAAGCTTGGGGAGCAGGGGACTATTTTATAGATATGGGGCTTTGGATCAGTACTGGCCTCCACTGGCTGTCAGATGTCACTGAAAAAGTGTTGGGCTCAACTGCTTTGAGATAAGCACTTTAAGATGTGAAAATCAGCCCTTCTGTGGGATGTTTGGATCCCTTCACTCCAGGCTGGCATCTGTGCCAAGTGCAGCGCACGAAGAAAGGCGCAGAGCGGCCACTTGTCACCCGCAAGCACTGCTGCGAGCCAGCTCTTAGCTCAGCCCAATGAGTCCTGAAGTTGTTGGGTTTTCATTTTAGCCGATGGTTTAAGTTGCCAGCGTTTGTAGAGCACGCAAAGCCCAGGGGCCTCAGCAGCTCAGGGGACATATCGCAGGCGTCCTGGCTCCCGGGCACAGAGCGAGCGCGCGGGGGCAGCCTCTGCCCTGGAAACCGGTGCTCTCGATTCCTGCTCCTGTTCAGTCAGTTTGGCACTCGGTTTGTTTCTCTGCATGGTATTTAAGAGATTAATAGTTGTCTTAGCTCCAGTTTTGCCCACTAAAAAATGCCTTTGGCCCTGCCAATGTTGTCAATACTAGAAGGAGGTCTCAATTAGAAATGCTCGTGTGTACTGAAAAAAAATTCAATTTCTTGTCATTCGCCTCTTGGGGTTAATGTCCCACTGAGAAACTTGCTTATCTCCTGTACAAATTCTGCTTAACATTCACCTTCCTACCAGGGAAATCTGCTGGCAGGCCACCAGCCTGGGCAGGAATTGCTCTCCTCGCTCCGTAATCCCCGATGCTATGGCAGTAGAGAGAAGATGCTGACAAAAATGCAATAGCCAGGATAAAAAGAGGTTAAATCCTCCCCTTTCCTGAGACTGAGAAGGATGCAGTAACCTCAGACTCATAAGCCCAGTATGTTTTGGTAGCCCCAGGGACTCCTCTCTTGATGCTGATGCCAGCTCAGGGAGCGCTGGCACTGGCTCACTGGGGGGCGCAGGGCTTGGCCCACCCCGACCTCCCAGGAGAACATGCTCCTCCAAATCCAGCAAATCCTTGCAAACACCCACCTCCTCCTAGGCCTTGGCATCCATCTAGCCTCTCTTAAATGAGTCCCGGGTAAAGCTGCATCCTTTGCCCTGGGAAGAGATCCCAGCTGTTGTTTTTTCTTGTCTTCCCTCCTCCCTTTCCAGGCTTGCCCTTGCTGGCAGGAGGCACCGGCTCTGGGTGCAGCAGGCAGGCTGATCTCGGTGAGCAAAGCACCTTTTCCCCGGGACAGGATGAGTAGCCACCATTCCCAGACAAGTCCTCCTTGCAGCTCATGGGAGCCCAGAGGCTGCAGAGCCTCTGTAGCTGCCGGAGAGATGTCACCTGGACTTGGGAGGCTCCCCTACGAGCGGCCCACGCAAGCCTGGGTCCCTCTCTGCATTGGTGAGGTCGGTTCAGAGCTGATATGCTCAGGAGTCCTCCTGCCCTTGCACCAGGGGCTGGACTGTCTGGTTCACAGGATGGACTCCACAAACTGGGGAGTAGGAGCCGACCAGCCCCCGGGATGCAGCCTTTTCATAGTCATGGAATCACAGAATCAGAATCATTTGGTTGGAAAAGACCTTTAAGATCACCGAGCCCAACCGTACCTGTCCACCACTAAACTGTATCTCCAAGTACCTCATCCACCCCTCTTTTAAATACCTCCAGGGATGGGGACTCGACTATGTCCCTGGGTAGCCCATTCCAGTGTCTGGTAACTCTTTCTGTGAAGAAATTTTTTGTAATACCTAATCTAACACACACACCCCCACCCCCCCCTTGGTGCAACTTGAGGCCATTTTCCTGGTGTCCCTTGATGGAGCTGCCAACAGTAGACGTGCTCAGCTGTGGCAGCACTCTGCCAAGTGACTGAATGCCCCATCCCATGGGAAAAGGACGGGATCTTGATTTAAAAGAGGGGAAGGAGCCAAGCGTGCAGAAGCAGGACCCGCTCGGGGCAGGTTTGGGTCCCGGCTCGGCGGCCAGGAGATGGCGCCTGGGATTTGTGTCTTCTCCGTGGCTGGGAGGGTTCCTGCCTTGGGCTCGCCCTCCGAAGAGCTGGAGAGGGGCAGAGTTATGAGCAAAGCTTTCACATTTGTGCAGTTCCTTCAGGATTTTGAAGGTGGGCAGCTCTCAGAAGCCTCGCAGGCAGACGCCTCCCTGCCGGCAGAGACGCTCCAGCCTCTGCCTCCAGGATGTTGATGGACCGAGGTGGCCATGGGAGCAGTCGCTTCAATTTTTGATAGAAAAAACCCCTCATTTTTCAAAGAGCATTTCCACATTTCCAGGCAGGTGCAAAGCAGTTCAGTGGGGTTTTAGTCAGTGGAAACATTTAACATTTGCCAGGGACAAGAAAGAAACCACCTTCCCTCTTGCCTGCATAGTTCAACCTGAAACTGTGTCACCGTGAGCAGTCATTTAGCGGTGGCGAGGGGGTGCAGAGTGGGGTGCATCACCCGCCGGCTCCCCACCTTCGGTGTTTCATACTCCTGTGGGCTGGTGGGAGGGACTGATGGGCCAGCTCTTGCCAGGCGTTGCAGGAATAAGCCCGCAGCACACAAATACACTGCACAAGGGTTTCCAGGGTGCTTCAAAGAGATGATTCAGCCTGTCCCCAGAGGGTTGTGCCTGCCTCCCTTCCCTCCCTGCTGCTCATGGCAACAGAGCCTTCGGCGCAGTGTGCCAGCCTGCAGGGATGGGGCAGGGGACGCGTGGCGCGGTGACAACAGCCGTGGGCAGCGGGCTGGGACCTGCTGCCTGTTGCACACTCCTCCAACGCTGTCTGTGCTGCCTGGAGAGTGGTGGTGTCCCCTCCGCTGTGGGGACACGGTCCTGCCTGGCCCAGGGCAGCTGGCCACAAGCGAGGAAACCCCTCGCAAGCTGCCACAGACACCGGACGTGTCCCCCGCGCTGCCTCCGCTCCCGTGCCCCACTGAAACAACCTGGCTCTGCCAAACCTGCCGTTTGGCATAGACTTATTTTTCCATAGTGTCTTGTGAGGACTAAAAAATGTGGAGCTGTAATAGTCTTGGCTTTGCTGGTGTGGCCTCGGCTTCCAGAGCTGGTTTTGCTGTCGGACTGCAGCTGGGCTCGCTGGCATTTTCCAGGGAAGTCACCCAGCAGCTGACGGAGCAGCTGGCTCTGCTCTGGGGGGCTGCAGCCAAACCAGCCCTATGCACACTGGGGCTGGATTTCACCCATTTAGAAGGTGGATGCTAAGAAATTAAAGGATTAAATGTTTCTTCTGCCTTTTGGGTGAAGAAACTGGGGCATATCTTTAGGGTCAGCTCAACACCCCTCCTGGTCCCACTGACAAGCCAACAGCTAATTCTCATTTCCCCTGCTGCCTGCTTCTCCACAGCTCAGATCCCAGGGACTACGAGCAAACAGTTACTGCAAATAATGTATGAGTGGCAGACAAATGACCTGGAAACGTCACGGGCAGGTTAAACTCAATGCAGGGCTGTGCACCCACAGAGCAAACACGAGCCCTGTGACCCAAGCCCACGGCCAGGGTCTAGCTCCAAGCGGATCAGATGGGTGTTACAGTCACACCCAGCCCCGGACTCCAATTTCAAGGAAACCCTTTGCACGATATTGCATCTGTCCCTTGTCTAGGTTAAACTGTAAGCTTTTTATGGCTAGGAAGGACTATTTTTGGACTCTGCACTGATGCTGGCTATCACAGGCCGTGCTGTGCTCAGCCTGCTTCCCCTCCGCTGCCTGTGTTGCTCCTTTCTGCTCTGCCTCTCTTACCTCTTGCTTCCCTCAGTATTTTCCTCTCCACCTAACCCGCCTTTGCAGCGAGTGCAAAGGGCCCCTAGGTCAGAGAAAGTCCTGGTCGTCTCTGCATGGCGTCCTTGGCAATTTTGGGCACAAGGCGGCTTAGCCCCTTGCTCAGACATCCTTGCCACTTAGGACAGTCAGCACAGCACACCTGAGCTGCTGTAAGGAAGGAGGGTCAAAGGGTA